CTGTGCGGGTGGCTGCTGCTGCTTTGATCTTGAGCAGCGCCAGACAGACCCCAACCCCTCCCTTCCCCCCCGGGATGTCTAGTTGCATCATGTCTCCCAGCCTTGTCACCCTGAAGAGGGGGACGTGCCAGACACTCCAGGAAGTCTCGTCGGGACTTTGGTATTGGTATCAGTGGTACCTGGAAGGCGCACCGATACCAGGGTGATGGGCAGCAGCATAACCCCTGAGAGAAGCAGAGCCAGACAGACCCCAACCCCTCCCTTCCCCCCCGGGATGTCTAGTTGCATCATGTCTCCCAGCCTTGTCACCCTGAAGAGGGGGACGTGCCAGACACTCCAGGAAGTCTCGTCGGGACTTTGGTATTGGTATCAGTGGTACCTGGAAGGCGCACCGATACCAGGGTGATGGGCAGCAGCATAACCCCTGAGAGAAGCAGATCGTTGCGGTTTTCCACGGAGCCGCTAGGAAAGTCCCATGCAAGTATCAGAAGTCTTGCAGCTCTCTGCACCCACCCCTTTGCTAAGTCCCCTGATCCCAGCAACACCATATATTGCTTCCTGCTATGCCCACCCATGTGTGTGTGTGAAGTGGGACCTTCCCCAGGCTGCTGCCTTCCAGGCATGTTTGATCCGGACCATAGCGTGAGCCAGGCCTTTGTGGAGGGCAGTGGTTTTCTTTTAAGTGGTCTGAAGCTGGAGAAAGCATTGTGTTGTTGTATTATCTTGCACCCTGGAGTTCAAGAGAGCATTCCGAAACCCTCAGGGCTCTACAAACCAACAGCCAGGATGTCAGGAGTGTTTCTTGTCTTCTTGACATTGATTATATCAGCAGTAACATAAGGGGGGCAATAAAACGGGCCGGGGTTCCCCAGGGTTAGCCCCTGGTGGGCTGCTGCCACTATATTTACCTGTACCTCCATGGGTATGGGCAATCGCAGTTCCCATTGGCCAGAAACAGTGATCCATGGCCAGTGGGATCTGTGATTCCCCCACACACACACACACACACTTGTGGCAGTGCAGGTAAATATGGTGGTGTGGGGGTCCGCTAGGGGCTAACCCTGGCAGACTGGATCCGGCCCGTGGGCCTGTATTTGCTCACCCCTACTCTAAAGGGAGGCCGTTGCAATGGAGTAAAACAGATGCAAGGGAAAGGAGAATCAGACCCAAGATCACTGGCCCCGAGAAGTGTGCAGCATGCCGGCCCAGATCCTGTGCAGTGCGCCTCCCATAGACCCCACTGAGCTCTAAGGTCACTTGGCTGCTTGCAGGATGAGCTCTTCAGTCCATTGCAAATGACCAGTGTTACAGTGTGGTGCAATGTGGTTTAAAGAGAGAGGAAGCCTTGAAAAAAGCAGCACCCGTGACCTGCCTGGGAAATTGCAGCTGGGGAGCTGCAGCAGTGCGCATTAACACGGGTGTGGGTGTGCGCCCCCAGGCACAGGGATGGAATTTTACTGGGATTCAGAGGACAGCATCAGGAGAGGCACAAGATGGAATAAAATGGAGTGGGTGAGTGCTGGTTTGACACTTCCAGCGCAGGCTCCATCTTTTGCCTGGGGGAGTTGGGAGGCGAGGCTGGAGATGCAGACAGGGCTTGTTGATCATTTTGGTGACGCAAAGGTAAGTAAATAAACCAAAGCCAAGCCAACAAGTGCCATGCAAAGCCATTAACATTCTTGCAGGCTGATTAGCAGCTGTTTATTGGGCTGGGATTATTAGAAGGCCTGTGACAAACTGCTTGCTTGGCTCCCCAGCTTCCTTATTTCTGAGTGGGGGGTTTGCAATGTCCCAGCTTTGATCTCAGCGTGTTTGTTTTCTTTGCAGACAAGACAGCAAGAAAAAGCTGGCCAGCCTCTTTGGTATTGAATCAGGGCATGAGAGAGACATAACGGCAGATAAAATACTGCAGTATATTCCTGGGAGGGTAAGTACAAACCCATCCAGCCATACCCTTGAATGAGGGGAAGTTATTCTTACCTGCAGCGGGGTTCACTTGAATAGGAGCTCCCATGTGTATGAGATGAGCAGGCATTTCTGCACGTGTCCAGGCGAGGGAGATCAGAGGCTGGGGATGGGAGATATTTGTAGGAAGACCAGGAATCAGAAGCAGAGAGCTATCTCCTTCCAGGCAGGCTAGCTCACCACTCCAGTTCTCTAATTCAGCATCCTGTGGGTGGGGATCACGAAGTCCTGTCATCAACTTGAAAATCTGGAATCTGCAGTGCTGGCAGGGAGGTAGGCAGAGCCTCACCTGCTCTTAGGTCGTTTGCTTCTAGGTCGAGTAAGGATGAGGGGAAACTAGGGAGAGCGTACAAAAGAGAGCGATTCATTCCCATGCTGGAATGAGATGGAGCTGCAAATGTATTAGCAATCAGCCACAGGAGGGGGAGAGGTAGGGGCAAGCCTGCCTAAGGCACATCCAAACTTTGCAGATGCATGGCTCATTCCCAGCATTCTCAATGGAAGAAGAGCTTATGTGACTAGCAGTAGTGTTGATTGGTATTATGGTCACATCTACAAGCCACAACCAAAATCAGGACTCTGTTGGACTGGGTGCTCTCCATCTACCTGGTGGTAGACTGCCCCAATTACAGATGAACACCATGTAAATCAGCGTTTCTTAGACTTTTTAAGACCAAGGAACACCAAACAATTTTTATTTTTTGTGAGGAACACCAAGGATTTTTTTGTTGAGGGGGGAAAAAAAAGAAAAGGTTGGGGGGGAAAGGGTTAGGGGCGGCCATTTTGAACTCTGTTGTTCTCCGACTGTCTCTGCCGCGGAACACAGATTAAGAAACTCTGGTGTAAATAGACAAGCCCGCCCAAGCATGGGTGAGGAACCAGAGACAGAGAAACCACTCCATGAGTGGTCCTTTGGTCTCCTGAGACCCAGCCCAGTGCCTTATCCACCAGGCTTATATTAATGATGTTGTGCATGGTACAAGAGTCCCTGGTTTACGTCCGTCAGTAGCCCTGTCAGCCCTTCGATCAGCCCTGGCCCTGTGTAGGGCCGTACCAACGCTTTCTCTCTTCGCTGAAGTTCCAGTTAGCCTCGGGAGAGGGACGGAGAGCCAGAGCCACCATTTTGCTTTCCATCCAGAAACGTTGGCAGGCCCGTTGATGGGTGGGGGAGGCGCAAAGGGAGCGCTTGCACTGGGACTTGGTGATTCCCAGGGCTCTGCAGCAGCGGTGGCAGCCGGAACCTTGGGCCCTTTAAATCGCCATGGGAGCACCCCACGCAGCTCTGAGGGCTGGGGAGCAGGGCACCCAGTGCCACATTCCGGGCAGCACTGAGGACTGGCTGCCCCATCCCAGTGCCTTCCATGCAAGGCCCTGCCCCTTCCAGGAGTGGAGAACCGGCCCCTCCCCCTTCATGTTGTTCAGGAGCCCGTGAAAGCTGTCGGCGCCCCTGACCGTTGGGTTGCTGTCGCCTTTTTGAAGTGAAAAGGCTCCTGATTCCAAGCTGGATTCTTATCCACGTGGCTGGGCCCTTTGTCAGCTGGTACAGCTTAACCTTTCATCATTTGGCACCAGAGGAGGAGTCATTCCCGACTCTGCCACTAGCTCACTGTATGTGACCTTGGGCAAGTCACTTCTCTGTGCCTCAGTTTCCTCATCTGTATAATGGGGGACATGATACTTAATCATCTCTGTGAAGTGCATGGAGCTCCACAGATGGAAAGCGGTATGGAAGTGCTAAGTATTATTTTCTTCCACCTCTATCTTGTAACTGAGGTCCATAGGCCTCCTGCTGGACGGACAAAGGAGATCTTTTCCTGGAGGCACATGGAGGACTCTCATGTTCTCTGAGCAACGAGGGCACGTCACAGGATCAGGACCTAAGCTTGTTTTTCATCTTGCTTCCTTGGGGAAGTACTAAAAATGTTAGTGGAAAATAGCCACATTAGCACATGACGTGCGTCAGTGCACTGGCAGATGTCTCCACATCCCTCTCTGTGACGGAGGTAGTGGTGAAGAACAGCTGACTGCTGCTGCTCTCGGCTAATGGATTTTGCCTTGTCACTCAAATGGTAGCTGCAGGTGTGAGAGGTCCATCTGATCACACCCTTCAGTCTGCCCAAACGTGGGGACACAACGTGGGACACGGATCAAAAATGAGCCACTTGCCAATTTATTCCTGCAGAAAACTTCACATGAAGCCGGTGTCTCCCCTAGAATATTGTGCAGTGGTTAGGATGCCAACGTGGGACAGGGGATGACCCATGGTCACATCCCTGCTCTGCTGCAGACTCTCTGGGTAACTTGGGGCAAGTTGCTTCGCTTCCCGGGCCTCAGTTCTCCATCTGCAAAATGGGGATGATCCATCCCAAGGCCAGAAGGAACGACTGGGCTCTTCTAATCTGACCACCTGCATTGCACAGGCCAGAGAACTGCCCCGACATAGTCCCCGTTCGATCTCGAGCACTAGCCTGCCTGACTAGTGCATGGGGATGCACCTGTGAGGTACCCAGTTGCTATGGTGACGGGTACCGTGTCAGTCCCACAGATAGAGTCTCAGGCTCTCGAGCTTTTAGTCTTCATGCCCAACATCTTCCCAAGAGACATGAAGGAGACCCCCACCACTGTGTGCCCTAGAAACAGGCCACGCGCTGCTGGTGACCCATCTGGAAGAAGAACGTCCCTCTTGTTTTGCTGTTGATGCCTCCAAGCCCCAGACTTAATTGCACCACTTCCAAATCCAGGCCACTGGGGAGTCCAAACAAACTGGAGGAGGGAGGGAGAAGCCCATTGCAAACCTGCCTCAGCTCCTTAATTATTAACCAGCAGCTTTGGGAACCCTGGGGCTCAGGGAGGCTGCAGCCATCCTGCTGCCCTGGTTCAGGATTCAGCTGTCAGTCTCTGGCAGTCTGGTGAGGGTCTGGAGGGGGGGGTCTGGAGGTGAATTATTGACTCGCTCAACCTGTTGGGTGAGGCACTGGAGACAGGAAAGAGAGAGGGAGAACATGTCAGGGCATCTGCGCTGCTCGAGATCTGCTGTTTTTGGCCAAACCCCGAGAGGGGAACTCGGTTTCAGAATGGCTGTGACTCATCAAATTGTGGAAAAGTTGAGGCAACAAAAACAATCTCTGTTCAGGGAGTCAGGGGCGGTGGGGGTAGCCGCAAATATAAACAGTCCAGGGGGAAATAAAAGCCAGCTGATGAGAGATGCAAAAGTATGACAGAGCATGAAACTTTTGGTTCCTTTTGTCTGGGCCGCAGTGGGCAGAATTCCCATGGTTTCTGCTGAGCTGTATGTGCGCTGGAGAGAAGTGTGACGGGCTCAGAACAAGAACCTACAGGGAACTGACATGGAATTGGGACTCGGAATTAGGGCTTGATCTTCACAGGCCCCCACATCTCCTCCTGAAGTGGCTGAATGCAGCTTTTGAGCACCCCTGACAGCTAGAGCCACTTCAGTGAACCTGATTGGTTGCTGCCCTGCAGCCAATGTGGTCATTGATGCTGGTGCCCGGGTAAAATGATGTGACAGCAGACTGGTAACTCACAGCACCTCCACTCCGCACTGGTGCAAATGACTGTTCGAGGTGCCAGCCTATGGGGCACTCTGTATCGCTTTCCACATCAGTGAGAAGAGTAACTTTCATCTCTCCCTGCCCGAGGGGTTGTGGGCAGTGTTCCCTGCAAGATGAGTGCTTGGGTGGCCTCCCAGGAAGGATTCAAATGCCGCCCACAGAGCGCCCACAGCCAGCAGCATGCATTTCTACTGGTGGTGCACATCCACCATGCCTCAGTGCACATAAATTATTCTGCACACATTTGGAAAAATTAGAAAGAACATTGGTTGCAAGGTGAGGTTGGCAGTATTCCCTCACATTTTTTCAGAATAAATGTTATGTGCACCGAGGCATGTGCAGATGTGCACCACCAGTAGTAACATGCTGTCGGCTGTGGGCGCTCTGCTACTCAGCCGGGCAGCACCTGAATCTCTCCAGGGTGGCTTCCTAAGCTCTCATCTTCCAGGGAACACTGACACTGGTTGGAGAGTGTAGTGAGTTTTGGACACAAGAGGCTAAGCAGGATTGTCTCCTACCCCTTGCGGTGCGATGATGGATTCACCTCCCCCCAGCTAACCACGTTAAACTACAACTCGCTCTGTCTGCACTCGGGTTTAAAGTGTGACTTAAAGTCTGAGCTGTCTTACCGAGAACTGCTTTTATCCCAGTCTCGTCAGAGCTATTATTTGCAGCACGGGGCTAATTAGCCCAGGGAGGTAGCATATGGCTTGTTTAGAACAGGCGTGTGCTGTGTTCCCATTGGCTGGGAAAGCCTGGGCCCAGAAGAGGTGCAACCTAATTGTCATTTGTGCCTGGGGGCACCTCCAATTAAATCTGCGTGGGGCAGCAGTGCTGCAAAATGGTGCTGACCTCCTGGCTGGGTTGGGGCTAATACCAGAGGCTGCTTGCACGCTCCTTGAGGTTCTCTCTCTTAGGGCAGGCCTAGTGAGTGCCTAGCGCTGATTCCAGACACCGGCCCCTGCCATAGCTGTGTTCTCTGCCCTGGTTTATGCCCATTATCGCAGGGTCTGGAGGGTTTCCTGCTCTCTCTTGCCTTTGGACCCTTGTCTGTCTGCCCAGCCGTGAAAGTGGACCAGCAAAGGACAGTTCTAATGTATTATTAGCATGATGGTTCATGGTAGCACCGAGGCATCCCCAGAGTGGTAGGTGCTGTATGGACAAATATTCCCGGCCTCAAAGAGCTAAGGCCGCGGTGTCCGACACGCTAGCCACTAGCCACATGTGGCTATTTGGCTGGCTGAGTGTGGCTATTTGGCTCACAAAGGCTAGGTCTACACTATCGCCTTTTTCTGGAATATTTGAAAAACGTGCTGGAATTGTAGACGGACGCTTTACATTGTCAGGGATTTTCTAGTCTTGCTTGCAGGAGGCTCAGTAGGGAAGCGTG